GCGATTGTGGTTCAGTGCCTTGGTTCATCGCTGGACGGATTGCTCGCTGCCGTCGAAGTAGTCACGGGTCCAAGCGTGAAGTCGGCCGGTTGAAAACACATCCGGATGACGAAGGGACGCGATCTTTGATTATCCGGGCAGTCTCCGAAGCGAAGGCAGGAGTCGACTCGTCAACCTACTCACAACGCCACCGACCATGGCAACGGTACAAGTAGTTGAAGAAGGCAATCGACGAAAGGGCGGCATGAGCTCGGAGGAGACGGATCAGTGTATTCTCGGTAAGTCGGCATCGCACGAAGGTCTTGCATGTTCACGTTGGCCAGACATCCTGAGCTGGTTCCAACGCAAGAAAGCGGCGCTTCCAAAAGGAGCCATGGATCCCCAAGGTACAAGATTACTCCGCCTTCACCAACTTGTCGGAAATAGCTCACGTGGATTCGAGTAGAAGTGGAAGCAATGGAGAAGGCGTTGGAGACGACCATCCCAAAGGTACCGCAAGCGTTGCCCTTGACGGCTGCTAAGCCCGTCGGCTTCCGTAGGCACTGGTATTCCTGTTGGAGAAGCAAAACGGTGGAATTTGGTTCAACGAGTTCAAGGTGCTTCTTTTTATCCTCCACTTCCATCATAACACTGTGCCTTGTCCAGTCCCTGTCGTGCGACGTACGTACGCCTTGCCGCGATCGACATTGTCCGGCCAACGTCGCGTTCGAAATTGGATTGGGTTTGTAGGAGATTATTGCGACAGCGGAAACAAGTCAAGCTTGGGACGGATGGACTCGCGGGTTTGTCCCGCTTGCCGCCGACGCTGATGGGGCGCTCCTGGTGATCGACACGAAGGATGGCAATGCCGTGCAAGAGTTGTCGTCTGATGGCATTGGACGCCAATTGGCGTCGTCGCTCACGGCGTACTTTGAGACGTACCGGAACGAACTCTTGTCGGGCAACTATGACTTTGTCCAAGACGTCGGCCTCGTCGAGCGCAGCCATAAGGCGCGCAAGTAGAAGCCAGCCACACTATGCGCTGGACGTTGTATTGAGCACACTTAAGACCAAGCACCTTTGTTCATCATTGCCCTGGTCTCTTCTTTGTGTGATATACTGGCGTCAGGTGCGCCTGCAGTCTGCTCCTAGCTTGGGCACTCGCAACACATTCGGATAGTGGCGACATTTCCAAGCAAATCACAGCACCACCGCATTCGGCCAGATCTTGTGACTCGCACAGCTCTGTCGGCTTGCGAGGTCCCTTCGTAGAATCGTTTTGTTGAGAGCTACGACATGTCTCGGCACCCGAAGCGGCGCGCATCCACGTCGACCATATCTCCATCGCCTTGGAAAATTCCGTCGGTCGAATCAATTCCTTGAGTGCCTCAAGCGGCGCGCATCCACATAGAGTTTCTCCATCGCCGTGGAAAATCGTTTAGTCGGATCGATTTGTTGATTGCCCGAAGCGGTGCGCATCCACATTGAGCATATTCAGCGACCCCTCGTCGACCAGTATTTACGTAGCCATCGTTGGGACACATGGCATGTCTCCATTGTGACATGTGACGACGAGCGCATTATACCCGTTCAAAATCGTTCAGGGTGTTTATGACCGGTATGGTGAGCTAAAAATATATTGAATTTTATCCAATCAATTCGATTGAAAATCTCGCGAGATTCACGAACGTGAAAACACTTCGGCTGTGCAACCAGGATGGCGCGGCGGCTGAGGCTCTTGGAAGTGGTCGTCCTAACGATTTGTGTCGTAATGCTTCATGCGAGCTGGATAACAACAAGTACTTCGTCGTCCAGGCGGCTTATCATCTCAAATGACGGCGGAAACGTGACGTCTGCCCTACATAGTCTCGGCCGAGTGATATTTCCAGTGGACCATTCAACGTCGTCGAACGCAACCAACGCATTGTCGGTGAATGCGACTTCAGAGACGTTGACCTTTCCACCAACCATGTTGCCCACTGCTGCACCAACCACTGTCAAGGCGTCGACAACGACCCCTGTTCCCACGCTCAACGTAAACGAAACCCACGGCGTTCCAGGCAATCCCACGGACGTCGTGGCCGTTGCATCAGATGCGCAGGCGCAAGTGTCGTGGAAGGCACCAGAAGATGACGGGGAGGATCCGATCACTGAGTACGAAGTTGTGTGTTATGTAGTCGACACCAACACCCCCTTGCCTCTCGCAATTCAAGTGACGGCGTCAGGAGAGCAGGGCAGCCAAGTCCCGACGAATGCGTTGGTGCCAAACTTGCAAAACGGGGTCACGTATGCATTCAAAGTCAGGGCAAAAAACATCAACGGATTCTCGACGTGGTCGGCTAAGTCCCAACCAGTACGTGGATGCGATTCTGTCTCATGAGCGTCCGTTGTGATGTTGGCCCTTTGCCTACGTAGGTGAGTCCTCTGCATCCCCCAGACATGTGCACGAGTCTGTCCTGCTCCGGAAATGGCGCGTGCTTTCCCCAGTATAATCCTATCCAGCAACCAAGTCCAACTTCCGCCAACGCATCGTCCGAATTGCCTTCGACGGCCCCGCCAAAGGACGCCGGTGTTTGCGTGTGTAAACCGGGGTTTTTGGCACCAGACTGCAGTCGCGTGGACGAGTCCATCGTTGGAGTCTGGGAGGTTTCGCCATGGAGCGCTTGTTCGAATGGATGCGGCGGCGGCACGCGGACTCGACGAGCGTCCTGCGTCCATGTCAAAACAGGGTACATCCCCCATGACTATCTTCCACTTTCCCCGGATTTACCTGAGTGACCAACTGCCTAGCGCTCCGTTGGACGCATCCTCCTGTGCTTCCGAGGCAATGCCTGCGCTGTCGTACATTTGCAACGGGTTTGCGTGCGGGTCGAAATTGATCGAAGTGTCGTACGAGATTGAAATGTTTTATGACGACGTCGTGTTCTCTGCCGAGAGCGAGCGCGCGTTCACCGTAGCATTCGCGACCGAAGTCGCATCCGCCCTCCAACTCCCACCGTCACGGCTGGACGTGGTGAGCTTGCGACGGGGAAGCATCCACGTCCAAATGTACTTGCTCCCGCCAACACAAGCCGGCGAAAAGTCGTTGAACGAAGTCGTAGCGGACCTACAAAGCCAAGTCAACGACAAGACCAGTGTGTTGCGCACCCAAGGCACGTTCTGTCGCCGCGTGTACCCGTCGGGCGTCAAGATGAGTTTCTTCATTGCAGAGCAGCATGGCGCCGCGGAAGCAGAAGACATTTCGATCGGAGGCCTTGTGGGCACAATTGCCGTCTCGGTCGGGTTTGTCGCGGCATTTGCGTACTGCCTGCGCAAGCGCCACGAGCGCCTCATGAAGTTCAAAGCGTCCAAGCGCATGGGGTCCGACTCGAAGATGAAACCCATGGGCATTCGCACCATGTCCTAGCGATGTCGTTCAAAAATGCTTGTATTTATTGGTGCTCGTACACAAGGGTTTCGATGGTGGCGGGCCCCACCTGGAGTCATGATCGCTTCGCTTCTGACTTGTCAAAAAAAAACATGCAAATCTCTTTAGCCACCCATGACACAACTACTTGCTCTCGAAGGACGTTGGTAGTATCCATTCGGGTAGTCCAACCAGCCATGGCATCGTGCTCATGCAGCTGGCAACACAGCATTCCATGCGCTCCAGAACTGAGACGCAAAGTAGTCCTTGGCTTTGAGGAGGCGGACGGCAAAGTTCCCCACGACAACCCCGCCAAATAAGGGAAGTTGACCAACCCCGCCAGCAGGGCCGAGTGGAATGAAAATGCCTTCGACAGACCCTGTCACGTATGGAGCCACTTCCCCAGAGCCGCCTCGTTTGATGAGGGCAGCCAATTCCTTGACCAAATGAGTAGCTTGAAGCTTTCCATTGTATGCTAATTTGGGCGTTGGGTGGTTGTTTATGTCTCCGATGGCGAAAATCGTGGAATATCGGGGGTCGTCGAGTTGGAGACTTGCAGTCACTTTTACTGCACCGTGGGCTGTAAGAAGTGACGGATCGAGCGATTGAATCAACGACGAGTTGGGGGAACTGCCCGCTGCTACGATTTGCACGTCAGCCTCGATGATCGTGCCCTTGTCTGTTTGGATCGTTTTCTTTTCAAATCCATGGGCAGCTTCACGAGACGGTAAACGCTCCCCCAGCACCAACTTGATGTTGAGTTCGCTCAATCGGGCTTTCAAGGTGGCTTGGAATTTGTCGGTCAAGGCGCTGCTGCTGATGAGTTTGTCGTTCCCGTCCACGATTGTGACCGTCTTGTTGGGATATGCGGTGGCGATCTCCCCTGCCACTTCCACGCCGACAGCCCCGCCTCCAACGATCAAAACGGATGACGCGGCTTTGATGTGGTTCGCAGTGTCCACGATGGCGCTTTCGATGTTTTCGCGCGTGTACAAGGTGGTCGGCACTTTGATTGGTGACGTGTAGCTGCTCCCGGTCGCAAGAATTAAGTAGTCAAAAGGGATGTTGGTCGTCGCTTCGTCAACGACGTTGTCGACAATCTTGCGGACGCGAACTTCGTTACCGTCAATGGAATCGGCAAGTCCGCGAATGATCTTCGTGTGAGATGCAGGAAGGGCCTTGTCCAGAGGAATGAACAACTTCCTCACGTAGGACGGGTCGACGAATGCGCGTGGGACGCCGATGCAATGGTATGTGAACTCATTCTTCTCAATGACGGTGATCTCAACCGCGGAGGCAGGCAGGAGCTTGGCCAGTGCTTGGGTAAAGTGGATGCCGACATATCCTCCGCCGACGACAACGACTTGCTTGGGCGCGCTCATGACAATTTGAAAAATGATCTTTTTGAGGTCGACTTCTGTCGTTTAAGGTAAATTTCAACAAAATTCCCATAGAAACAACAAGTATAATTGGACTTTTATTACATTCCTGGATACGATCTCATGCCAACTGGTCAACATCGTAATCTATAGATCCACCAATCAGAATTCAATATGAATCGTACGCATCATCATCAGCCAATAAACGTGCAAATGTATCACATCCATGGATATGACTCGTCCACGACACGTCGTCCAATCGGACTGCTCCTTTCAGCTAATTTTACCCAACCAAACATGACCATTCATCTTTGAGCCAATCATAGTTCAAAATCAAGAAAATTTCCATGGAATCGTTTTCCGCCCAAGTACAGCTGCCAACAGCATCTTTGATTGAACGAACGCCAGGCGAAACCCGATGATCGACAAATGCGGCGCCTTACATTGGACGGAGGCTCTCGAACGTGCATCCAGGCGTGATGAGCTAACTTCATGTTGATTTCTTGCTCCTCTGTGCATGGGGGTCCGCCTTACCGTCATGGGGATGTTGAAAACGAGCACGTTCTTGTCGCTCGTGCCACACACGATCGCGTTCTTCTGCGGCCAATACGTCAAGCACCGCAGCTTTTCATCCTTCCTATCGGCCACACGACATGATTTCGAGAACTTGATACGGTGATTGCACACGAATGAACCGCACTTGAGTTCGTGGATGAGGGCGGCGTATTGACCATACGAGCCACACACTTGGTAGTTCCACACGCGAATTTTACCGTCGTACGCACACGACACAATGTACCCCGTAGACGGCAGCACAATGATATCTCGCACTGCTAGCGCATGCGCTTGAATGCTCCCTAGCTCGTAAGCGTGTCGTGGATTCAGCATGTTCCAGATCTTGATCGAGCAGTCGTCCGATCCCGAAAACAAAAAGCATCCGTCGAATGCCAGGCATGTGACTGAGTCTTCGTGGTTGCTCAGCGTTGCAAGTAGTTCTTGGTCATCCAAGCTGTACAGCTACAGCATCGCCACGTCAGGTACCCTCCCGACACACTCGTCATTAAGACCTTGATGTTGCCGTTGCTGTCACCTGCTGCGAAGTACGCGGCATGCGGGCTGTTCAAGTAGGCTCCGTTATTGAATGCAAGGCAATAGATCTCGTTGCCGCGACTCGGCTCCTTGGATTGTAATTTCACATGCGGCATCGGCGCATGGCCCACCATTAGCTCCCAAATCCAAATGACTCCGTCAAAGTCGGCCGAGATAAACAACTCGTGGCCATCCAGGCTCGCTGCTACAACCATTCAAATGCACTTGGCATTTTGTTTTCAAGAACTCTGACGAGAAAGACGTACTGACGATGCAGCTGACTGTGTTGTGGTGCACGCGCGTCGTGTAAAATTGCCCATTGTCGACGTTCCACTGCTTGATGTTGCCGTTTTCGTTCCCCGTGAGCAGCCTATGATGAGGCGCCGAGTACGCGATGGTGCTCAACTCGCCCTCCTTTTCTTCAAACCTGCGACATCGTCACAATCTTTCGTTCCATCGCCAGGAAATGCAGTCACAACAACATGGCAAGGCTATATGCTGCTGCAAACTTGTGAGCGAACGTACCCGTAGAGCACGCGGAGGTCGTACGGATCCCAGCACCTCAATGTGTTGTCAATCGATGCAGACACTAAGTTGGACTCCCCCGCGTTGCCCACGGTCGCAATAACCACCCCAACCACAGCTTCCAAATGGCCTTGGCACTCGACGTACGATTCGTCTCGGTGGACCTTGTACAGCGTCGCTCCATTTGGTCGCTGGACCAGAACATGGTGCCCCCTGCTCGACACAAGCGATAGACATTTGAATCGTGTGATAAACATTTGACATTTGTGAAAGACAACCCACCCCGGAAACACCGTCACTGCCAAGATCGGGACCGATTCGAGCAACTCGGTGCGCATGCACTTCTCTGTGTCGATGCTCCAGATAGACAGATGGCCCTTCTCGTCCACGATGAACAGCTCGTGATTGTGTTTGTCCCAGTCGCAGCCCGTGAAGCGGCAATGACGGGTGTTTTCGATCGTCATGACAATCGCACCAGTATGCGCGTCAAACACTTGAGCTTTCGTATCGAATGAGATGGTCACAATGAGGTTCTGTTTCACTCAGGCATCGATGAGGTCGAGAGTTCATGACGGAGTTGGGATAGTACTTGATCTGGAATCGCCAAGATTTGTGTCACGCCGAGCGCGTGAAAGTGGTTGTGTTGGCGCTTGAGCTTGAGCTGGTCTTCATTCGTTGGGTCGACGCGCTCTCGGCTGTTCTACACATCACAGTCACGATATGCGGCGAGGTGGTTGTACGTACCGCTGTTGTGTACACAGACACGCCGCCACCAGAATCTGCCACGTATGTGCTGGACAAATCAGCACTGCGCAGACACACGGACGTGGGCCAGCTAGAATTGAACCAACACGTCAACACGGGGCTATTGATTCCATGGAGCGCGTGAATCGTACCAGCCACCACTCGACAGCGTTTGGGTGCAGATGTACCATGGATGCAGGAGCAGCGTTCGCCCTTTGTCGGGCTGCCAGAGCTTGATTGTTCGGTCCACACTGCATGAAATAAGCGTTGTGCCTGCGATCTTGACTACCGTCACAGTTCCCCCATGCGCAGCTAGCGTTTGAATGCACGGCTCGTCCACGGTCGGGCGTGTCGGGTCCCAAACCTACGCCACTATTGAGCGCTATACCACTCGAGGACGGGTGCGCCATGGACCTTTATGGTGCGATCCGCCGATGCACTGAACAAGAGCTGCGAATTATCGTGGCGCTGCATGAACTCGAGGCACATGACAGGACCAGAGTGTCCGCCAAACAGTTGACCCTGAAACGCGACATACAAATTGCGATATGGAACTCGTGGATGCTGGAAAGCGCGACGACGCACCTGGGGAAGGAGGCAGCCTAGCCGCGTGTAACTCCACATGACAAGTTTGCCATCTTGCTACAGGCGATTCGTCAACGTTTTACGTGTACCGACGCCACACTCACCCGCCCTGCGAACAGCGCGACCCCTGGAATGCACTTGTACGACGAAATGTCAGACCGCGATACCACGTTCTACCGATCACAGTTGGTGCAGTTCATGTCAACCCATACAGGTAAGGCCCAAGTCTGGCCAGCCATGCATACGTTGTGTACAAGCGCGTCTCCGTTGGCCACGTGATGATGCTCCCCGCCAACGCCAAACGATTCGTCCTTCACGAAATGGATCGACGGCGCTGCGTGCATGAAGGTTGTGTCGGCGGCCAAAAACAGTTACACGGACGGCCGTTTCATTTCCATGGCACACTACGACGCCGGTGGAGCTCGACTGCCTTGCTCAACACGACGCCATGGCAACTGCGCAGGCTTCATCGGACTTGTTTGCCTTTGCGTCCTTTTCGATGGATGGCGGGCGCGTTCCCTGGCCACCTCGGGTACAGCGCTCGTTCAACATCGTGATGATATGGTGGTACGCAACCTGGTGTTGCGGGTGGGCGGTGGCGCAAACAAACTTGTCAAACAAAAGACTTGCAACGGAGTCTGTGAGCTCGCTGCTTGGGATGTACGAGGGGGTATAGAAGGACGCCAGCAGTGCGATATGCAGTTCAGATCGGTCGATGGTATATCTACGGTCGGTCGGTCGAGGTGGGGAGTGCGTGCGCGTCTTGCTGGCCTTACGCAACGCTGCCCATCCGACCTTGCCCCTCCCCCCCACGAAATCGTGATCGTGTTGAGGCGGACGAATTCCGCCTCCGGTTCAGAACCATCGGGCACGACGAGCCCAGTGCCACTCGTGTGTGGGATCAGGAACGTTCTTGGGAATTTCCCAGTGGCACGAGCGTTGGGGCAAGAACGACGTTCAAAATAACTCTTCCTCTGAAAATATAAATCTCTCATGACAAGTTATACTACTTGATCTATACATGTAGGCATCAAAACGACAGGTGCACTATCTTGAACGACGCGGCAGCTACACATGGTCAGCCGCACAACGTGAAGTGGACAGGAGCAAGCTTACCGCCCCGCCGTCGGGTTGTTGCCGCCGCCAGGTGGATCACGAGCTTGCGTCGTCGCGAAGTATACAAGCGCTGCCATTGTAAGCCGCATCTCATCGCCACGGTGTGCCTGTGCGGCGAGAGCACGGTGCCTGTTGGATGATCTGTGGGGCTCGCGCACTTCTTGGGTAACATGGACGTGGATTCGTTTCAGAGTAAATCCTTGAAAAGGCAAGAGTCGCACGCCGTATCAAGCCAGCACAGGAGGTTGGCGACGTGAGCGCCAGGAACGCAAGTCCGACGACACACACGTCATGCAGCTCACTTGACAATCTCCGTCGAGCCAGGTCGCGTCGTCGTCGAGGACGCCGGACACGCCATGGCTCTCTTGACTACGTCGCAGTCTCCCCGCCGCCCACGCAACCACAAACAACACTGGACGACCACCGAACCAGACCAGAACGTCATCTTGCCCCGCCACCTGTGGGTCTCGAACAAGCACCGATCAAGCTGCGTGTGGTGTGTGAAGCCGTTCAGCTTGTTCCGGCATCGCCATCACTGCCGCTTGGTACGACCGCGTACCGAGTTGCGATGGAATGCTGACGGTGCGTTTGTAGTGTGGCGACTTGTTTTGCAAAGACTGCGTCGTCGTTTGCAAAACCCGACAGGCAAGTGTCAAAGTGTGCCGGTCGTGCATGCCGTCGATCGATGCCGCGCCGCCGCCGCCGCGGCGGCGCACCACCCTTGAAAACGTCAAGCTCCTGGACACGGCCCGATGCCTCGAGTTGAGCAGCTCCACAGCAGCTTCGCCGAAACCTTGTTTTCCCAACACAGCCACGTCGTCGACATGCTCGTTGCCGAATTCACCGTCCGCGTCCGAGCTCGGCATGGCTGTCTTGCCGTCCCCCAGCATGGTTGCCACACTCGCGCATCTCCTCCAGGAAACGGCCGACACGCACGTGACGCTCGCGGCGCACACGTCCAACGCGACCCAAGCGATCTCTGCGCACGATGCTCAGATCGACAGACTCAACCGAGCGATCGCGCGAATCGAAGCCAAACTGTGGCACGAGTGCGCGGACCCACAGGACGTCGACGCCCTCGTCGCAAGACGTGCAGCCCCTTAGCGCTCACGATCCGCGTGAAGCTCCTCCCGTGCATGTAGAGCTGGTATTTGAGACGGAATACATGTCAGTCTTGTGCAATGCGCACCACCCCCTTCAACAATATCCGTCCACGATGGCCGATTGCATCCTTGCAGAGCCATGCAACCGTCGACGTGCAGCGGACCACGCAACGAGCGCATATCAGCCGATGATGCACCCACTAACCAGCGCCATGGCCGCGCACGATCACATTCCCCTCGGCTGCGCGACCACGCACCCCGCGATCGACTCGACCAAGGTCGTGGCGCTCGCACACGCGAATCGAGCGAGGTTTGCATGGCAAGGCAATTCATAGAGCGACAGACGAATGGACAAAGCTAAAAGTTGGCGTCCCAGTCCGTTCCGTCGTCCTGGTACGGCGCCACGTCATCCCATTCATCGATCGCGGCGAATTTCGATGCGTCGAACGGGTTCGAGAGCGCCGGTAACCACGGCGCGGGCTCGCGCTTCTTGACGATCTTGTCCCATTCGACGCCGTGGAACCATGGATGAGTGCGGATCGCATGCGTGCCGCCGTGGTTGCACCCCATGCGCTTGGACACGTCGCGGTCGAGGAGCTTGGTCACGATGTCTTTGCACGCTCCAGGAATCCACGACGGAAACCGGAGCGGCTCTTTGACAATGTTGCGACAGATTTGAATCTGGTCGGACGGGTTGTTGCCGACAAATGGAGAACACCCGACCATCATTTCAAAGATCAGGACGCCGTACGCCCAGTAATCGACACCCTACGCCGTCCAGCTCAGCGACGACAGGCTTGCTCGATCTTACCTTGTTGTGCCCCTTGCCCAGCACAAGCTCGGGCGCCAGGTACTCTGGCGTCCCGCACAGCGTGTACGTGCGGTCGGCACACACCTTGGCAAAGCCAAAGTCCACGACTTTGATATACCCTTCTTGGTCGATCAAGAGGTTCTCCGGCTTGAGGTCGCGGTACACAATGTTGCGGTCATGCAAGTACTCGAGCGCCAAGATCACATGCGACGCATAGAAGCGGGCGTGGTCGTTTGGCAGGCGCCCACCCGGTCGCTCGGTGTTGTGCAGGTATGCAAAGAGCTCGCCCCCTTGGACAAACTAGCCGTCCCCCATTTCGTTAGCCAACGGCAGCCACGGGGGCGATGCGACGGAAGCTGGAGTATTACCTCCATGAGCAAGTACAGGCACTGCTGATCCTTGAACGTCTGGAACAGCTTGAGAATGAACGGGTGGTTGCACTGCCTCACGCGTTAGACAGTCGGTAGCGACGACCTGCACGAATCCACGGGACGTACCATGGCCAGCAAGTTCTTTTCGTTCAGGATATTGATTTGCTGCTTGTACGCCACGACCTGCGTTTTTTGCATGACTTTCATCGCGTACGGTTTGCCCGTCAATTTGTGCTTGACGAGCTTGACGCGGCCGAATGTCCCTGTCCCGAGCGTACGGAGCACTTGCAAGTCGTCGAACAAGACTTCTTCCCGTGCGTTCAGCTCGACCTGTCGGTCTTCGGCTTCGCGGTTGAGGATGTCTTGAAGCGGTCCGAGCAGTTCGACAAACTAGATGTGTGTGCGTGGAGTCGCGATGGCGACGGTGGACGGTGTACCTTGGCGCGCTCCAGGACAAAGCACTCGAGCGACCCGCTGGCCACGACATTCGCTTTGCGCGGTTCGTCGTTGAGCAAGGCCATTTCGCCAAAGAACTCGCCCACCGACAACTTGGCGATCTCGACCACCGTCGACCCTGTACAAATTCGTGACGTTCGGCTGAAAAGATAGACCTACCTGACATCTTGGACACGACCGCATGGCCCGACTTGATAATGTAGAACGTGCTTCCAGGCTCGCCTTCCTTGATGACGCTTTGACCGTCCTCAAACGATTGCGTCGTCAACGCGGCAAACAGCGACGCGCGGCTCGACGGCAAGAGCGACTTGAGAATGGGCACGCTTTGAATGACACTACGTTACCATGAGCCACGCTGCCGTGATTGCATTGTTTGGATCGACTGCACCGCATGCTCATGTTGCGGTCCATCACTTCGCGCAACGACCCGAGGATCTCGTCGAACGCTTGACGGTCCAACGCGAACGCCACAACATCCGTTTCGGCCGTCACGTTGGCCGCGCGCGGTTCGCGCGTCATGAGCGCTCGCTCGCCAAAGTACTCGCCGTCCTGCACACGAAGCGTCCGAGATTTACACGGCCATGCATGGGCGTGAGGTACCGAAATGCGAACGTTTTCGACAGTTTTGACTCCGTCGCCAGCGTCGCTGCAGACAACTGGGAACTGTGTGAGCCCGATGGCATCCGTTCTTGTGTGGTCCGAGGGTGTAGGGAGGTACCTGTGCCCGTCTTGATGATGTACAGCACGTTGCCTTTCTCGCCCTTGGTGATGATGCGCTCGCCTTGCTTGAAATGCAGCATTTGCACGACATTCGCTAGCTGGCTCATTTGGCTGTCTGTCAATTCCTGCAGATAACGTGTTCATACACAAGTGTGTCCAGCGCAAAGGCCAAGCTGCGTACGTGAAGCAACGGGACGTTGCGGAGAAATTTCTTGCACTCGTCGAGCTGGTCCTCAGCGTTGCGGGCAACGATCCACCGAAACGTGACGCGATCGAGTGCCCAGAGGATGCCCGAGTCGGTGGTCGTGACTGTCGCGGCGCGGGGGCAGTTGTACAACAGCGCCAACTCGCCAAAGCTGCCGCCGGTCTTGACTGTCCCGACCACGTCGCCCGCGATCGAGACGTCGTACGTGCCGCTCTCGACGACGTAGAAGAAGTCGCCAGTGTCTCCCTCGGTGATCACAACATCGCCCCGGTCAAACTTTTTACTGACCATGAACCCGGCCATCACGTCGATGTCGAGCGCGCTCACGATCGACATGAGCGCGTTGCGGGACAGCGCCTCCTTGATCATGTGCATCGTGTCTTCTGCCTTGGGCACCGTGTTGGGCTGATACTCGTCGTCGAACTGAATCGATTCGGCGAAAACGTCGCCACGGCGCTGGGCGTCGCGCTTCTCCCGCATCGCAATGCTCACCTTGCGATCTGCGTACGACGGCCACGTGAGCCTCACCAACCACGCAAGAAAGGAAAACGTACCCGTCGACGTCGTGACATCGGCCGCGATGTTGTCGAACTCTTGCGTTTGTTCTTTCAAGTTGGAGCTGGCACACCCCATCTTTTCGTCGGTGCACAACGAGCGAAAGTGAGCTGCTGCTGCGACGCGTCCCTCGCACCGTTCGGTTCAAAACGGACGCGCTATTCTTGGGCATGACACGTTGGCGCAATGTCGCGGCGAAACCAACGCCGCTTCTGGACAAAACCGCTTCAACGTGATGCCTTTTCGGCGTACATTATGTTAGCCAGGCCAATTCAATAACATATTGGTCGTGCCAGCTGGACAATAAATATATATTAATAATGTAAGAATAGTTCCAATACAATTCTGGTTGTTTACAATGTCCACAGCACCATCTGAAGAATTTATAATTATATTGCAACAAAGTACAATTAAACTTGAAGTTTGTATTCTCTTGTTTTACTGAATTTATTCTTGTTTGCCCACAATTGAACACTTTTCAATGTCTAGAGCAACACTACGTAATACTTCCAAGTACTATAATTCTTGATGATACAATATATATATATTTCATGGGCGACGCGCACGGCGAGAGCTGCGCCGTGGCCATAGCCTGAAGCGACGCCACCGTCGGCGAACGACGGCGACGTATATATACATGGTTTAATGGAAAAGTAATCGATTTGAGTTTCGGTGGTTGCGAAGTATCCGGATAAAATTTGTTTTATCCGATAGTGTCGCCTGATTGGCGGAGGCCGGTTTGGGCTTGAGTTTTTGGGTGGTTGAAGCCTTTCTCAAGCACGATGCGGTACCTCCGCGCCAAGCACATTCGTAAGGCGTTGCGGCAGTTCCAGTTCCTCTGCGGGATCAAGCCCCCGTACAAGGTGTTACTCGATGGCAACTTCATCGCGATGTGCATCAAGATGCACGTCGACATTGCGGTGCGCCTCCCGACGTTCTTGCAGACGAACAATTGCACGTACTTTGTCACGCGCGCCGTCTTGGACGAACTCAAGCTCTTGAGCGACAATGCAGACATGCGAGCGGCATGGGAAGCCGCTTCGTCTTTTGAGGTCGTCGAGGGCGATCCTGACGCCACAAACGACGCGACGAACTCGATGCTGGCCGCCATTGGCTCACGTAACGACAGAAAGTTCATTGTGGCGACCCAGGAAACAGAACTGCGCAGCCAACTGCGTCGAGTCCCAGGTGTACCGCTCATTTATTTAAATCGATCCGTGCTAGTGTTTGAGGACATGAGCGAAGCCACGCTTCGCATCAGCCGCAAGGACGATCATGCCAAGGCGGCCAAGTTGAACGCGGGCGAAAAACGCAAGCTCGAGGCCGTGGCATCCTCCACGGTGCGCGAGGCTCCAGAGAAGAAGTCTCGACTGGTCAAACGAGCGAAGGGACCAAATCCGTTGTCGGTGAAAAAAGCTACCAAGCCCAAGAAGGTGCGAGCTCCCAAGAAAAAAGCCCCCAAGGCCTAACGTCGAACGATATTCAACATTTCCAACGAGTCTCGAGTCCCTTGCACTATAGACACACACAACGAAAACTTTAGGAAGAACTCTCCGCCCAACAGAGTTATGCGCTCCAGGAACGAATTGCCGGGCTCGTTCGATGGAAGTACTAGCATCCATGGACAAGTACGGCCATTACACAACAGCAGGTGCATTGATTCGCACGCAGAGCTTGCGGTAGGTGACTGTCCCATCCGCATGCCGTCTCGTTTAGGCACCTACAGTCGCTGGGACATGGTTGTCGCACACGCGCTGCCGCTACGTGAACGGCGTGCTAGCTTGGAATGAGTTTGCCCCATTAGCCATGTTAGCCATGGCTGAGGTAAGCATCGATTCTCATACGCTTCAACTAGAAGTCATCTAGTTCATGCTTGATACAATTCGCACATGATTGTGCTCATCTTCATCAGGATTCGTTGCGTGGTTGCAGCAACATGATGTATTGACGGACGACTTCGAGGGCAACGACCCGACGAACGCTTAGATCAATGTTTCCAAATGCCCCAGCAGCGTTTGCACTTCCTCGACCGAGTTGTAATGGGCTAGCGACACTCGCACGACGCCGCCGTACGCCCGCAGCCCGAGCACGTCAATCAGCTGGACGGCGTAAAAGTCGCCAAATCGAATGCCGACATTGAACTTGTCCATTTGCCTGACCAGTTCCGGCGACTGCTTGCCTTCCACGACGAAGCTCACGGTGGCCACACGATTGTACACGACACCTTTTGACTCGGTTTGAAGCGTCGGAAGGCCGATGATGCGGACGCGCGGCGCCTTCGATCGAAGGAAAGTGAGGAGGAGGTCGGTCAGGTAGTGCTCGTGCTGTTCAAAGCGATCAAATGCGACTTGCATGAGCTCCCGCGGCGACCCTTGTCCTCGAAACACTGCTCCACCCATGTGTACAAGGTATTCAGCGATGCCTTGGCACCCGTAACTCAGCTCGAAGTTGACGTGGCCGGGCTGGAGCTTGTATGGTAAATTGTCGGCGGCAATGAAGTGGTGGTTTAAGCTCGGCAGCGCCAGGAGCAAGTCATAGTCGCCCCACAAAACAGCGTAGTGCGGGCCAAACACTTTGTAGAACGAAAACACATACATGTCGGCCCCGCTCGCTTGAACGTCAACCAGACGATGCGGGGCATACGCGACCGCGTCAACCGACAACCGAGCGCCAGCGGCATGGACGAGCTTCGCCACTTGATCCACGGGGTTGACGGTGCCAAGAATGTTCGAAGCGTGCGTCATAGCCACCCATTTTGGACGGGAACACGTGGCCAGAATGGCCGACAGATCGCTCAACTCCAAGAGCAGCGACGTCGTGTTGACGTGCCAAGTCTTGATGATCGCGCCAGCCTTGGTCAACCGACGCCATGCCCCCACGTTGGCTTCGTGTTCGGTATTGGTAAGGATGATCTCATCGCCGGGTACAATCGTGGGCAAAATTGCCTGCATGATGAGGAACATCAGCGCTGTGGTCGAACCACCCATCACGACTTCCTCACTGCGTTTGGCATTGATCAGAGTGGCAATGCTCTCGCGAGCCTGCACGACACGGGCAAGTGCAGACACGGACTTGTCGTACGACGCGCCGAGCTGCACGCTCGTCGTGGTCAAATACTCGTACACACGGTCAGCCACACGCTTGAGCACTTGCGCCCCGCCAGCGTTGTCCATAAAAATGGTTTGGTTCGGAACACTGAGCGACGGGAACTCGGCGCGGACAGCGGCCAACTCAGACGCGGAGAACGGCTTGGGCGTGACTTGAGCTGGGGACGACATGATGGGGAGTGGGTCGGATGTTGCGGGGGCCGACGCCTGTCCGGTCCGAGGTTGGGATGGGGCTTTGGCATCTCACAAGTTGAAGAGATTGGCAGAATTCCCTGAATTGGTTGATATATTTTAATCTTTGTTGTGCTGTATCCAATATAACTATGTCTATTTTGACGATATTTGACCAAATTCGTGAAGCAGCTTTGCTCGAATGTGATCCGATTTCTCACGGTTGTCGCATTCCAGGATCCGTCGGAGGCGATCATTCATGTACGACGACGCCTTCGCCGAAGGAATGAGTCGTTCGACTCCCCCTCCCCCATCGTAATGCGAAAGCGCTTGTCAGAGCTTGAAAGGTATGCAAGAACTGGCGCCCATAGGCGTGACCCATTCTTTGCGCGAAGACTGGCAATGACCGGCCACGCTTTTCCATGTCAGCAGTTCAATCTGCGTCATCGTCTTCCAACCCCCTCGTAGCGGTTACGTTCGTTCTAACACTGGAGCACCAAATATACCACTACTATCCATAGAAGTATCGAGTATTTAATGATTGATTTTAGTTGGTAGCAACAAGTCCCGACCCACGCAGTTTCCACAATAATAGCAACGGTACCAACCCAGATCAATTCGAGAATGGCAATGGTACCAAGCCAGAATCTACGCGATCGGAATCCGGTGGGTTGGCACCATTGCCATTCAAATGGACCCCGTGGACGGCATGCCGACAAGCGAGCAGAATTTGTGTAAAATGAATGAAACCTGGGCTCTGGCGTTTTTAGCTCCAGCGGTCATGTACAAAACCACTCGCTGCTCGCATATCCACATATATCTGCACGCAGCTGCACCTGCACGCGGCTGTCTCGGGTCTTGGGTTTGATATCCATTGTACACTCGTAAATGTTTTACATGTATTAGAGAAATCTGGTTTTGCAATGTTGGGTGAATTTGAACATCACTGTCACCACACTTATACTAGGAATGGTTATGGATACAGTACAAACAGGTATAACTCGCGGGCAATTGTCTTTTTTGGGTACAGGCCCTCGAGGTTCATGTCGCCGCGTTTGTCGCAGAGCACGATTCACCCTGACACATCCCCTTGGGGGATTGCTCCCCTTGCGCCAGTTGCAATCCGATCGAGCGCATGCCAGCCGGCACGTAGGTGATTCGCCGGGGGAGACGTGTCGAGAGAGCACAGCGATGTTAACGGTTTTGTGAGATGTGGTCGAGCTTGCTAAGTAAGTACTCTTTTGTACATGCATGTCTCGGAGAATGCACCGAATACGAAAGGCGCAAGTGGCCATCCGAGAGATGCCAGAATGCAATGCATGCACGAACACGTGCTTAAGGCGCCACGGGCGGCCACATGCTACCCCGTCCTCGATGCGAGACCACAATGTGGGCAAACGAGCAAGCGACGAGAACTCGCGACGGCGCCGCTTTTCCAAGATGGGCAGCAACGCTACGGTGAGCGCGTGATGGGCGACAGGGTTGGTCGCTACTTGGTGCTCGATGCCGCCGTCAGAGAGCAGAAAGGGTAGTGGGTTCCTCACTCTGGTGTTGTGGATGGGCAGGTGGAGGGGGGATCGCGCCTTCAACGCTGCCACGAACGCATACACCGACGGCATCCTGAACAGGTTGGGTCTCGCTTGGACTTGTCAACGTCGTCGGATCGATGGTGCGGTTGGATTGATCTCGAGACTGAATGCCATCATGACGTGGCATCTCTTCTTGGCCAGTTCGCGCGGATCATGACGTGGCCAGTGCTGGTGTTTGTCGCGTCCGGTTACGACCGCGACATTGCTGCCACGGGCGGGAACGTCTTGAGTTGGCATCATTCGCCCCATGCGACGTGGTTTTCAATACGACCGGTCGCGCTCGTCCACTGTTTGAACTCTCGTCGCTTCGCTCCCTCAAAACGCGCCTATTGTCCATGTGCTCAACACAAAAGCCCCCCCCAGACCCTTGATGACCCCCCCGCTTGCTCAAGGCGTCGTGGTGAAGTGGGGGGCGGTCTGGGGGCGTTCGCCGACTGCGATGCCACGGACCTGAGCCCCCCCACATGTGGGACCGATTCCAATTGCCATCGGATGCATTCCCCCCTCAACATCTATTGAATGTCCCGCGCGGGAGGTCCAAAGCCCCCTTTGCTGCCGAAACCACACAGTTCTACCGCCGAGGGGCACTTGTTTCGCTTCATAGCTACACGCGCTCCATGAACGGCGGCACGTGCCCAGGTATGGTCGATCACCCACAAACGGAGGGTTCCACACTGGCCATGTTACGTAGCGGCAAACTTTACTGTAGCCGGCGTTGGTACGCTTTGATATCCATTGCGCGTGCGAAATAACGTGCTTCACCAAGTACTCTTGAATCTCGCCATGCAGCGACAACGTCGCGATGGACTCGTTGGGGGCTGCGGGGTGCTATAGAGCCCACTTGTTCGTGTTGTACTCGGTGCTACAAGTCGCCCTGGCACGTCCGAAGCGGGTCGCGCGTCGATATCGCCGCCAGCTGCTCATTGACGTCGTCCAAATTACGTGGTGTTGGAGAATTTTACCCAATCACATCGTCGCATGCCTATCACCCCCATCAACTTCAAAATGTTCGACCCGGCTGTGTGTGTCTTTGCGAGCGAGCGATGGGGATGTCGGGGTGCCTGTGGTGCTGTGGGTCGGCGCGGTCCAGGTATACCTTCGACGACATCCCTGACCTGCGGTCCAAGGTCGCCATCGTGACGGGAGCGAGCTCCGGCATCGGTCTCGTCACAGCCCGCGAACTCGCCCGCAAGGGCTGCCATGTCATTTTCGCAGGCCGGTCACGTGAAAAGACACTCGGAGTGATCCATCAAGTGGCGAGGTCGCTGCAGACAGCCACGACGCAGCTCGAGTTCATGCACGTGGATCTGATGAACTTGACATCGGTCCATGCATTTGTGAACGCGTTCCGACACCGCAACTTGCCGCTCCACATCTTGATCAACAACGCTGGCGTGATGGCGCCGCCGTTCACGCTCTCGAACGACGGCATCGAGTCGCAGTTTGCCACCAACCACGTCGGCCACCACGCCTTGACGACGGGGCTGCTGCCCATCCTGGAAGCATCGGCACCGTCGCGAGTGGTCATGGTCAGCTCGCGGGCACATGTGCGCGCGCCTGGCATCGATTTCACCAACCTGAACAATGCCCAAAAGTACTTTTCGTGGAACTGGTACAGCCAGTCGAAGCTGGCCAACATTTTGTTTGCAAGGGAGCTGACTCGTCAACTCGAAGTGCGCAATGTCATGAACGTCTACGTGAATGTCGTCCACCCTGGCATCGTCCAGACGGCTCCAACGACCCACCAACACTGGCTGGCCTCGCTCATTCTGTCGTTGTTCGAGCTCGAAGTTGACGATGGCGCCAAGACGCAACTGTACGTGGCGACATCCGACGACATTGTTACGCACAACTGGCACGGCGAATACTTTGTCCCGATTGCAAAACTCGGCGCGACCGATTCCATGGGCCACAACCAAGTCCTCGGGAGGAAGCTGTGGGCGTTTACGGAAGCGCTGATTCGCGACACAACCTCGGGTAACACGCCCGACTTGTGCGATGCGTGTCATTCTTCCACTACCGCGTTCTTGGACGCACAGGATCGGCAAGCTCCGTGACTTGTTCATGCACAGCTTTGGGACACCCAGTGCGATTGACTGTCTGTTTAAATTAAACCGTATGATAGAAGTTTGAGTGAATCGCCCGTGCCATCGATGGACTCGACTGCCAAGGCATGGTCCATCTGTCTTGTCATGTAGTTGACATAACGCAGTCGAGGTCGGCCTCTGCCGCTCGAGGGATGACGCAATGACCGTCACATTGCGCCGTACCTCACGACTGCCCGAGAGCTCGTGGCATGTAGCGGCAGGAAAGACTGGGTGCCATTGCCTTGGCAGGAAGGACGACGCTGCGGGGATTCCATGTTTGCCAGGCACGTGTAACTGCCAGCTGATCCACAACGAAACGGTCGTGTGCGAGCGATAAAAATTCACTTGGATAAAGTATGCAATCGTCGAAATCTCGAATAAAAGATCTCGTTCGTGGCCGAAAGATCGCGCCGCGACGACGATGGATGCGGTCGCATGGCATGTGAGCAATCGTACGTCGCTTCACTCGACTTGGAGTGCATGCATGCTCAGCATGACATGGATAGTGCTGGCAGAAGGCTCGACGCTCCTAAACGTACTCTCCGTCGTCTTCTATGTCATCCTTGGCCTCGCTGTGTTCATTATCGTCGTCGGGATCTGTTTTTGCTGGCTCAACAAGCGCGCGGACGCCGAGTTTGACGGTACGGACGTGAACCTGACAGCCTCATGGTTCTGCACGCATCTCACCCTGCACTTTTCATGCACAGAACAAAACACGTATCGCGAGCTCGAAGGTATTTTGAGGT